GATTGCCAGCACAGTAGCACGCAAGCAATCCAGCAGGAAAAAAAGCATCGTGTGCCGCTGGCTTTACACTGTGTCATAGTCGGAACACTTTGTGTACGACACAGTGTTACACTGTGTCATCTGTGTACGTTGTTGGAAAACACCCACTGCCAGTCTACTGCAAAGTCGTTCCGAAATACGACGTTACAATAGTGCTGGCAGTACCACAGTAATTTTGGAACGGCTGCGGCAGTGCACTGTTGTGATGTCATGATGGTTGCACTGCCAATAAAAAGGGAAAATTACTGATTAGAATTTCTGTTGTACACTCTAACAGAAATGCTAAATGAATTTACTGATGGTGATGATTGGTTTTGTAATCTACGCATCTCAAAAAGTACACCTCATGGAGAACCGGCACCTTTTCATCGCATACATATGAGCGGATTATCAAATAAATTATTAATATCGGAAAGTTTTGTGAGACCACTCTTAGTCTTATTCGACGCGTTTTTGCATGAAAGAATCTGCCAAAAAAAAAGCGTCACTCTGCCTTGTAATCTGAGATATTAAGCATTAAAGTTGATGACTATTGAGGTTAGGAAATCTATCACAGAGGCAAAATGAGGTCTATAATTGTACTGTTCCACAAGGGTTTCGTAGTAATTTACGGTGTAACTTGCGTAAGAGTACCCAGTAAGCAAGAAACATTTTGGAATATTTCAGCAACCATTGTAGCAATGTTACAACGTTACTACAATGTTGTTGAAATATTCCAAAATGTTTCTTGCTTACTGGGTAACTTGCGCCGATCAATCATATCGTTTCACTTGAACATCAGTTTCTGTCTAGTCATTTCATGCTTTTTACGCTATTTTGTTCCCGAAACATGATGAAACCACCATGCGTCGAATCTAATTTCTAGCTCGTTTTAGCTTATTCTGTCTGAAAAAATGCACATGGGTTTCGATTTTGCAACAGTACAATTATAGAAGTCGTGCGCTCCTTTGCATCGCGTGGAAAGTCGAAACCAGTCGAAACCCATGTGGAACAGTACAATTATAGACCCCATTTTGCCTCTATGACAGATTTCCTAACCTCAATAGTCATTAACTTTAACGCTTAATATCTCGGATCACAGGGCAGGCAACGCATTTTTTTGCCAGATTCTTTCGTTTCATGTAAAAACACGTCGAATAAGCCTAAGAGTAATCTCACTTTTTGATTTTAATAATTCATTCGATCATCCGCTCATATGTACAGGGTGTTACAGATACATACTAGGCAGTACGACGGGTTGCGCGGTAAACTTTGCATGGCTAAGCGTGGTTTAATAGACAATGACAGTGACTTTATACATTATAAAGTTTATACTACAAAGTTTTATTATTTATATTATAAAGTTTATGTTATAATGTCACTGCCATTGTCTATTAAACCACACTTGGCCATGCAAAGTTTGCCGCGCAACCCGTCGTACTGCCTAGTATGTATCTGTAACACTCTGTACGCTATGGAAAGGTGCCGGTTCCCCATGAGGCATACTTTTCGGAATGCGTGGATTACGAAAACTAATCGTAAATTCGTTTAGTATTTCTGTTAGAGTGTACAACAGAAATTCTAATCAGCAATTGGTCGCATTTCTCTAATCTTAATAATCCATAATTTGTCCGTCATATCTCATTACATGCCTAGATCTCAATCACGTGATGGATTGGGATAATACTATCATTTTGGATTCCGAACAAACGTACTATAAAAGTTGATCTCCGAAATGATTCACATAAAAAGACATAGCACGAGTTTAAATAAGCAGAGCGACACAGAACATTTTCCAGAAATTTATCTACCGATCATTAGTAAAATCCCCTCTTCTCAAGAATAGTTCTTAGCCGCTTCTCTGCTCTTTTCTCCCTCTCTTTTCCTCACATTAAACATAAAGACAGTCCTTCCTGCGCAAGCTGCCACATCTTTGTCAGCAATTGTTTCGCACATATATTCTAAATCTTGTTAACATAAAAATCTTTTTACATCATATTGTGGTTTAATATCTGTTCAAGCACGTGTGTCATAATATACGTGGTAAGCGATCTGGAATTTTTAACAAAAGGCTAATATGATTATAATTTTATATACAAATTTACTAAAGATTTGTTTTTGGATTTTTCTCATAATGTTTAATAGTATCCGGAAATCACGTATTCAAACAAGATTATAAAATACAACCTGACACATAGAAGATTTAACCCACAACTTTAAAAGAAAAAATTTTTTCGCGTGATTGTAATCATGTATCGTAATTTCCGCGTACTCTGTATTTACCGTTAAACTAGCGAATGGTATTTTTATCAATCTCTCATTTGGACTTTCGAGATTTTATCAAATATTACTTATTTTGTAACAACTTGTTATATAATGTACTGAGGATGGTCAAATATTGACTGAAATGTCTACGTTTTATAAATATAATTTTAAATATATGACTTTAGCAAATTACATCTAGCATTGTGGCTGAATGCTTACTGTTTATATTCATATATATAATATTTCAGATTGAAAGCCCGAAAGGAATTGGCTCAGAAATATAGTCATATTTCTGAGATAAATTTATTAAGATATATGTATATAAGTATAGATATATTAGTTTGACATCTAACTTTGATTGTAAGTGGCGCTTCGAGTTTATGTATAAATATTTTCGTATTAAACATGAAACATGCAATGTGAACACTGGTAATGAAAATAGAGGTAATCCATGTACGGGTAATGAAACACTACTAGAAAAAAAAGATCATTAGAAATGTCGTTATTGGAGTGAGAGAGAGAGAGAGAGAGAGAGAGAGAGAGAGAGAGAGAAAGAGAGGCGCTCAAAAATCACAAGCCTCTGGGCGCAACTTTTCTTAATGCGGCCCTGCCCGTATTTAATTTGCGTAAATGTATACGACCGCCCTCCATGCATTTATTTGGTGCCTTGATATATAACCTTGTCTCTTGCAATACATAGTTGAATGCGTCTGTTAAGGACATTAAATAAAGACATCTCTATAAGAAGAACCGCCATGAGTTTCGAGACTGTGCGTCATACGATCGCGTGGTGCATTGCAATTACGAAATCAAATGGCATTTACTTTAGGATCATGAATGCATTGAAAAAAAAAAAATAACTGACGCGTCTATTGACGCGTTTGCTATTCGCATCCGGTATATGCAACATTTCAATCCTCTTGTGGCAGACCAATATAATGTGTGCGGTTGATACTTTGTATAAAAGATGTTATTTTTGAGAAAAACAACCTAAATTCGGCAAGATAGTTTTACAAACGTCAGTGATATACATGGTAGTTATTTAAACGTTAGCAACAAAAGCGCATGCCTTGAAATGTAGTTTTTTAATATAAAAAATTCTTAATCTATTAATTATTATTGTAACAAGCATACTACAAACTCTCGTAATGACCGATGTTTTTTTCCTGTGTTTATGTAAGAATTTTTTCTCTTCACCTGTGAAGAGAAAAAATGTTACACGTACTCAAATTTAAATTTCTTGAATTACCTTAGATGTTATTTTAAAAATTGTTAGCGGCTTGATGAAACGCCTGTAGCGTATAGTGGCAGCTCCTTGTACAACACCTGATCCTTGAGAACAAACTTCTCGGTAGAGATCGGTCCTTTCGTAAAAGTCTACTCTCGCAAAATCGAGTTCGCGAAGATACCTCGCGTTATTCATATGATACAAAAGCGCGTCCACGTCATTGGTAGTGCAAATGCCTGGAAAAAATATCGTAAGATAATTATGCACTAAGATAATTTTTTAATCTGATATAAAAACGTCTATTACATTGCGAATCACGTAACTTCATTTGCTGCTCATGATTACAATAGTTGAACAATAAAGATGTAAAGCATGTTATATAAAAGTAACGCATTTACGTTATAAATGTGTGATATAATTATAAATTTGTATCATGATAAGTGGTACAAATAGAAATACAATGGTTAAAATTCAATTGTTAGAATGATTATGATTCAACGCTTCACACACGTATGCTTAAAGATATGCTGAAGGTATTAAACATCGAACATTTCTCGCATTCAAAAGGCAGGAAATTCAGTTCCTTGATGTTTCATACATATCGAAACTAAAACTGTATTTCTGTACAATTGATCGAAATCAGACATTGTTACGTTACATAACGACATTATACAATGGAATATGACGATTTTAAGACATGATTGATTTTAACTTCGGATAAAGTTAAAAGAATTAAGGACGCGTAACTGCAGCCGAGTACTTGCTTAGGTATGTATGTAAGTATATACGACTAATCGGTCATTGCATTCGCTGAAGAGCTATACATGTGAATCGTATTATGAGTAACGTAAACGTAAATAAAATCAAATACTAGTAGCTATTCATACAGTGACCATATGGTCATTTATTGTAAAGCCCAATCCTTTATTTTAGGTAGCTATACCTTAGATTTTATTTATTTTTTAAAGATTTTGGCCTTTATTTTAATAATACAAGTTAAAAAGAGAAAAGCACTAAAGAAATAAAATCAGTAAACAAAATTTCAGTTTGTCAATTAGAGCCAAACATAAGATGAACGTGTGTAATTAAAATTAACGTAAAGCCACAATTATAGACATTTTGATCCAACATTTCGGATCTTTCTCAATATTAACAAAGAAATTCCCGGTAAAAAGTTGTTTACACGTAAATATATATATAAATACGTATAAACATATCTAAACATACATAAATATTCATGAACATATATAATTTATATTAAATATGTCCATACATCTTTCTTTCGTGAAAATAATAATAATGAAAACACATCAAAAATAGTTAATGAGACAATTTTCGCATTGTTTGTTTCAGAAAAAATCAAGTTTAGAAAAATGCAAAAAAATTTGCTCATCCGTAACTGTGATCCGAAACTATAATTTTACATACACTGAAAAAAATGTCTTAATTTCAAAGAAATATTTCTTTGCTTGCATTAAAAAAAATTATTTCTTTGGATCAATAAAAATTTCTTTGAAAATAAGATATTGTACAGTATACATCTTATTATTTTTTTATACGAGCAAAGAAATATTTCTTTGAAATTAAGATTTTTTTTTCAGTGTATGTAAAATTATACATAGTTAGATGAGCAAATTTTTTTGCATTTTTCCAAACTTAATTTTTTCTAAAACAAACAATGCAAAAATTTCTTTGAAAATAAGATATTGTATAATATCTTATTGTACAATATCTTATTTTTAAAGAAATTTTCATAGATCCAAATAAATAATTTTTTTTAATACGAGCAAAGAAATATTTCTTTGAAATTAAGATTTTGTTTTCAGTGTACAATTATATATGAGCAATTCTTTTATATTTCTCCAAACTTGAGTTTTTCCAAAATAAACAATGCGAAAATTTTCCTTTTAATTATTTTTTATGTTTTTTCATTATTATTATTATTTTTAGTATACTAAAAAATAATTTTACAAATGAAAGAAGGACATATCTCATACATATATGGATATATCTCATATATAATGTATATACATATTTATATATGCATGAAAAATTATTTATTGGGTTAGAATATAAAAATAGAGTCCAATACAGTCGTCATATAAAACGCACATTAAAGAAAACAACGCGACGAGATGTAGGTAGTATAATGTAAAATAATTTCATGACTCGATGTGTTATATCTGAGCGCATTGCTCCCTTTAATATTTAATATTGATTGCGTTTTATTTGTCGACTACTCTATACTGAACTCTATTTTGTATATTTTAATTTTTTTATTAATATTTAGAAGAATTTCTAACGTCGAATCAGAATCTATAATTGTTGTTTTACATTAATAAAATTTAATTACACACGTTTTCCTTGAGTTTGGCTCTGATCGGCAATTCTCTAACTAATTTCATTTTAATAATACTACAAAATTCCTTTTTCTAATTAGTATTTTAATGTCTGATATACTAATGAGCGAATTCTTACGATACCTACTGATAAATTTAGTTTTATGTGAAGGCAATATTAGCCCAAACAGAATAACAAAGTTGCAATGACGTCAAAATGAGTTGTAATTGATTGAAACGTAATTTTTAATATATAACTTTTGATAATCAGATTTGCAGCTGTTTTGATATTATTTTGATGTTATGATGACTTTTATTTGAGAGTTATACTGTGCAAAAACATTTCAGAAATTAATGCGCAAGTGCGCGTCACATCTGACAATTACAAACTAGCTTGAAAATATTTAGGAATAAAGTCCTAAAATTTTCGAGTTTGTATTTCTTTATTTCTTCTAAAAAAAATAAGGTTTCCGTAATCGTTTGCTAAGAAAAGTAACATAAATTTAAAATGAATACTTTTTTCATGAGGAAGAAATTTAAGATTGGAATTTTGGACTACTCAAGCGCGTTATTGCGCAATCAATGTTCCGGATTTATGACATTCTACCTACTAACTAATTCCGCATAACAGAATAAGGTTAACAAGAGCGAGATAACCGAAAGAAATCGTAAGGATTCCTAGATTATATACGACAAAACGACATGTGTGACGATTCTTCGATGTAATCGTCTTTTAACATCTTGTTAATTAATATTAAATCGTCACGTCGTTTAAAATTATGGGGTAACTTCCAAAAAGATGAATCCCCCCGATTTTCTTGTCAATTGGTATACTACTGTATTTTGATGCCCTAATTACGAATATGATCATGAAAATTACCGACAAGATCATTTTCAAGATCAAATATTTAAAAAACGATTTTTATCTATACTACTGTATTTTTGTGTGCTAATTACAAATATAAATACAAATAACAAGGAGCATACAGCCACAGCACAAGTTGTTTAAGTGAAAGTGATATACTTAAAATTATAATAACAAATAGGTAAGTAGACGTTTCGGTCAAGATTTGACCATCATCAGTACAATAAAAAAGTGAAACAATGTTACAGAAATTTTTCCCAAAATGTTGACAATAAAATGCAAGTTAAAATTTGATGTAAATTACTAACCGAAAAAATGGAAAAATTATTTTTGACAATCACAAGAAGCCTACGAATTCGGGTAGATACTTGAATTTCTATTCAAATCATCCTTTAGAACACAAAAAGGATGTTGTAATAGGGCAGTTTGACAGAGTGTTCCTTTCCCATCCTAAATTTCACGAGAAAAATATTACTTCCTTAATTAATATTTTTCAATGGATATCCATTGGAATTTTTGTTTTCTACTATCAATAACAGGATTAAAACGTTGTCTTTTAAAAATAATTTCGAAAACATTAAGGAACATAATGACATTGTCATCTCTGACTCCACTGTAAATACTAAAAAATATTTTACCATTCCATATTTTAACATAATTTCAGAAAAATTTAGATTTATCACAAAAAAATTTGATTTTAATATTGCTCACAAACCAATGAATTGTTTAAATACTTGTATAAAAACTGGCAAGAATAAAATTAAAAAAGATTATCACTCAAATGTGGTTTATAATAAATTGTTTAGATTATAACTATTCATACGTAGAACAGACAAAAAGGAAACTTGATATGCGTTTAAAAGAACACAAAACTGATCTTAAGAAACCATCGAATACTTTTTATCTGTTATCTCTCACCACAGAATAGATAATAATCATACGATGGATTGGGCTAACATTAGCATTCTCGATTCCGAACAATCTTATTATAAAAGGATGGTCTCGGAGATGATACATATTAAAAGACAAGAAATAGGTTTAAATAAACAGAGCGACACAGGACGCTTTCTTGAAACCTTCTAATCACCTCTATATTCATCAATAGAACATTCCTTCCATTTTTCTTTCCTTTCCTTATTCAATGTTATATAGACTGTCGCTTGTGCTGCTTGCCTTCACATTTTTGTCAAGAATAATTTTACTAATTGGTTTCCAAGACTTGTGTTAATTGACAATAGAGACTCTGTATTATTTTTATTAGGACTTTCGTCGCTAAATACGTGGTAAGCGTTTTCGAATATTATTTTAATCCGTTTCTTATTATCTATATTTACTAAGACAGTTAAATTAATCAATTGATTTTTTTACCTATTAATAGAATCTGGAAATTACGTGTTTAACTCTTGAAGCCTCACATATTTTCAAGTTAAAAGAAATTATATATTAGAAAAGAACTTTGTTACATAAGCGATTGCAATCTTGGCACCTTAATTTTTGGATTTAATTTGTCAACTTATTCATAAGCAAATGAAAATTATTAACATCAAATTTTAACTTGCGTTTTATAGTCAACATTTTGGGAAAAATTTCTGTAACATCGTTTCACTTTTTTATTGTACTAATAATGGTCAAATCTTGATCGAAACGTCTACTTATTTGTTATTATACTTTTAATTATATGACTTTCACTTAAACAACTTGTGCTGTGGTTGTATGCTCCATATTATTTGTATTTATATTTCTAAGCCACCTTTAAGAGTTTAAATTTGATTACAAATATGATCATGGAAATTGCCGACAAGATCATTTTTACGGTTAAATATATAAACTTTTACATTTTATGTGATCACAAG